CAACCATATGTGGCGCATACCGCGTAAACTCTGTGAATTTGGCTTCATACTCAGCCACCGACATGGTACGTTGTTTCAATTGTTCAAATCTGTCACTTTGCGATCACAGACACATTGGGGAAAGTATTTTTCATAGAGAGGTTCTTTGAATTGAACCCAAGTTATAGAACCGTTATGCTCATGAACAAGCATCCACCATCGTCTTGCCTCTTCTTGTAGGGTAAAGGTCTCCAATAAAACTTTATATACTTCTGAACACGGAAAAACCTCAAACAACATCTCGATCTCTAGGATCCACGCCTCAGCTTTTAGTGGATCAAGGCCTCCTGGAAATATAGGTGGTTTCACTTTGTTAAACTTCTGCGTAAGGGCGATAATGTCACCGTTGTTGGGTGGCTCAACAAAGATTGGTGGCAGAGAAGAAGGTGGGGATGGTTGTCTCTGTTGTTGTCTTAGGGATTCTATCAGTAATTCCATCATTCTTTCCAATCGCTCCATTCTCGCATCAGAAGATTGAAAAACATCTGTGTGCCGTGTATTCTCCATTGGTCTATATGTAAACCGGGTAATAATAAACATAGGAATTGTAGTTTTTACAATTACATTCACATTAGAGATGCACATCATCACATTTACATCATATAGGCACAGTATAAACCCACACACACTCACACATGCAATAAAATGCCATAATTTCTTCTCTAGGACATCTTATAGCTCATTTGAACGTGTGTGTGCGGTATAACTCTTGCTCCCGTCCCTATAAGAAAATAAATGTCCAACGAGCTGTGAAGACTTATATGGGACAAAAGAATTTTTATATATACGTATACATATATCAGTCTATACACATCAGTCCGTGGCAAGTTTAATTACAACACATAATCAAAACACAAAGACTTTACCCCGGCCAACAAAATCAGTTTCATTAAAAAATTTGCTAAGCACTAGTCTAAATGTCAAAAGGGTGACTCCTAAATCACCCATGCAGCTCTAAAGCTTGATCGGTTGGAACCCTGTGGTGGGGCACAAAAGTTGGCTTGACAAAACGGAGGCTAGATTGACACCACTATGTCCCCTCCTGCACTGGATCACCTACATACATATATAAAACAATGAGTTAGAGCTCAGTGAATAATAACAGTATAAAGAGGTTAAAAATGACGTCCTTACTATAATCCAAATCGGTTAAATACAATAGTAAATAGAAAATTAGAATCATTTGCATAGCAGATCCATATTTCATACAGAAAACATAGTAGTCATATGTGGTACATCCAATAGTAGAACAGTACAGACGGTCATGAAGACCAGACAGTCAAAATTGATGGACGTGCCATCAATACAGTAAATAGAAGTTCTAAGAATTGGAGCTGACAGAGATTTCTGTAACAATAATAGTAAACAGATGCTAAGGATGCCACGAATACAGTTCAGAAATAGGACAATCATTCACTTAAGTAGAAAATATCATTTCAAAAACAGAGTATAGTTTAAGTCAGAAAATATTTATAATTGAACATATCTTTACAAGGTTGTTACTCACAACTGGCTCCTTGGAACACGCGGATAGGACACGGCGTTCGATCTACATAGACACATCCAAGCACAACAGTTCACAAAACAATCCTTTCATGTAGTCAATTCATAACCTATTCAGTCTAGTCACTAATCTTCCTTTTATTCATCAATTTCCTTATTAAGTTCCATTGTGTTCATGAGATGCAAATGCATATGAAAAACACTTAGAAAGTATGCAAACGGAGGTTTGGAAGTGAGAGAAAACAAGAAGAAAACAAAACTGAGCCGGCCTTGCTGGCCGTACGTGCGGTGGCTTAGGCCGCTCATGTGAGCAGAATGCAATTGGGCCTGACGGCTCATGCAGTGGTCTGGCCGCACCAACATTAAGGCCCGGCCACTTGTGTGGAGACCCGGCTGCTCATGCGGTGACCCGGCCACACTAGTGTATAGAATGCAAAGTTGGAAAAAAGGGACTTGGCTGTTCGAGCTGTCTGGGTGGGTGCAAAACCATTTCGAAAATCTACTGAAAATAGATCTTTCTCTTTTGCAAAAACCAACTCCAAAATCATGCAAATCAAAACCCAAAACTCACAAAAACATGTTGAATAACCAATTTCTAACTTCAAATTAAACTATGTCTTCAAAACAAACCCATTTGTATTGAAAAAGAAAAAAGATCAAAACTTTGAATTTAAGGGCAAAATCAAGAATCATGGAAATGTAAATTTTCAAACTCACAATCCATGAATTTCTGCCACTATTTACAAGAATCATGCAAGAGACAAGTAATTGAACAAGAATGATGCTATGCATGACAAAATCTTCAACTCTTTCTTTCAATTTTTCCCTTTAAGGTTCTTGACATGAACTACACCACCCAATTCCTAATTCAACTGAAATTCTACAATCTCATGTATAAATTTATTTAATCTCATGGGTTTGGACAAGAATTCTTACCTTTGATTGTGAAATTGTTGAAGATGGACTCAAATCTATTTGATTATCTTCTTTTATCTCTTGAGCTCTTTCTCTCCCTTTCTCTAGAACTCTCTCATAAGTCTCTACAAAATATCTCCCCCTATATCTTCCTCTTATTTGTTGACTTAACCAAAATTTTCCTTAATCAAATGTTAAGCTTAACTTAATTTAAATCAAATTCACTTAATCAAGTCAATCCTCATTATAACCTAATTTAACTTAACCTAAACTTAATCTTTAAGGTGAATCATGCTCTAACCACCTAGTCCAACATTTAATTTTAACCTTATAATTTAATGATTCAGACAGGTCTTTTTCATACACTAATATATCTGTCAATCAAAACATACTTCAAATAACTCATGGCGCATAATTAACAAATATATAAGCATATAAGTCACATAAAAGCACATAATTAAGGTGACCTTCAGATTTTACAGTTAATCAAGGAGGTGTGTTACAATTACGTTTAGAAAAAGTATACTAAGGAGTTGTTTAGTATGTTTACGTTGGAGTATTATATTGGAGCATTACGTTTGAAAAAAGTACATTAAGGAGTTTTTCTAAAGTGTTACGTTTAGTAATTTTAACATTATGAAAAAATTCACATTTGTCACTTAACACATAACACATTCGTGTTTGTACTTTACCTTTTTATGTTATTGATATTAGAATGAGACCTTTGGGTTCATAAGAAAAAAGAGAGGACCAAATAATTCATTAGATCACTATTTGAGATTGGTGTTTCACCCAACATTCTATTGCTTACTATACATAAATCATTTTTCTTGTTTATCATATTTCGTGTTTGTATTTTTTTAAATATATATTTTTATTTTTAAGTAGTGTAGTACATTAGTTTAGTACAACTAAAGATAGTTTTTTGTGCTTGGATTTGGATAACTTGAGTTTAGCTTGGATTTTTGAGTTAAACTCAGGTTTGAACTTGGCAAATAAGTTTGGGCAAAAGTCAGTCTCAAACTCAAATTTACACAAATCTCTTTATACTTTGAGTTGATCTTGACAAATCTTCAACTCGACTAGGGTTTGTTTGGAAAAAACTTCTTTAGCCTGACTTTTTGACTAATTTAGCCTGGCCAAATTAACTCTATTTGAATTTTTTTTTGACTTTTTTACTTTTTTTTTGTGAAAAAAAATAAAATAATTATAATTTAGATGTGACCTATTTTATCTTATTTAGTCTATTTTATTTTTTTTTGTTATATTTTTTTAATCCTAACCCACCTCCAACCCGCTTGCCAAACTAAACTTGTCCATATGACAGTTATCCCATGACTTCTATGTATACATATGCACATAAGAGAAAATTTTGAAGATTTTGAATTCTTTGAATTGGGCAAATAGCAAATTTTGCAGCTTTTGAGTTTTTTTGAAGGGACAACGGGAGTTATTTATAAAAAAAATTAGTGATAAATCTATCACTCTAAAACTGTTTTTCAAAAATACATTTCTACTATTTATACTTTCCACATTATATTTCAATACAAAATAATATAAATAAATTAAAAATAAATCAAAACTCACAAACGAAAGTTAAAATGTCCTAACCATTTATTACTTTGATAAATTTAATAGTATCATTATCAATACCAAATGATCATTTACAAACACAGAACATATCTTCGAAGTTTTAAAGTTTTTTAATTATCAAAATGAAGAATAAATATGTTTAAAAAAATTCACTCAAAACTTTTGAATAAATAAGTATGATCAACAAAAATTAATAGGATGTGCTAGAAATTATCCTTCTTTGAATTGGGTGAGGAGCTGCTAACTACAAGCCTGCCTTGGATGTAAGTACGATCTTGATTTGGATCATTAGTTCCATAATGAATTTTTTACTTTCTTGATTGATTGGAAGAAATTTTCCGACCATAAATCATCCATCTCTTGTTTGTGATTGCTTGGATGAAATTTTTATCTCAAAGTACTAAACTGATTTTAACTAAAATTATCATGAATCACAAAGTGTTTCAATCAACCTTTCTTAAAATAAAGTTGGTTTCATTTCTATAACATGTCACCAAAATATAGAAATCCAAGAGATCCATAGAATAAAATCTTATAACTTCATACACTTGAAATCTTCTAACAACCAGAATCTGCTGAGAAAAACTTCCTCACAATACATTACAATGGCAGTTTCACATGCATTTGTTTAGCTATTTCTTATTCTTTTTTCTGGGGCTGCACATAATTTCTTTATTATTTTTGTGTATATATTTGCTCTGTTATTATCTTTTACTTTAAACATCAATTTCTTTATTATCTAATACACTCCAACAAAACAATGTGAGTGTTTGGGAAGTTGCTATTTTAATAGTTTAAAATTATTGTACTTGGGAAGATGATTAGATTTTTTTTTTTGTAATTGGATATAATGTTTGTGATAGAAAAAGTAAAATGATTATGAATTTGATGTGACATTTTATCTTATTAATTATTTTAACCTATTTTATTTTTTTTTGTGAATTTTAAACTAAAAAAAAGCTAGAATAACCCTTGCCAAACACCACCACCAATATATTGCTTCGATAGTTCTGTCTGTGAAATTTCACTCTTACAAAACAAGGCCATGTTAATTGCTTTTCTGTGTAGGGCAAACCCATTCGTCTCTAAACGTGTGGCCTGTCGGGCTGGAAGTGGTTTGATAGACTTGCCAATATATCTCCCTCAGCCGCTCCTCCACCGGGAGTACTCCCACTTGAGCAGCAAGCCAGTCTAGGTACTCAAACTGCAATTAAATCACAAAAGAAAGTCATTATGTTTGAAAACTTGTGTGATTTGAAGAGAGAGAGAGAGACAGTAGATTTTTCTAGGCCCTAGTCACTTATTTGGACAACCAAAGAGGAGAGAAATGGAGTAAAATTGGAACAAATAAAGGCCTTGTTTGGGAACCCAAGTTTGAGACTAAAATAGTCTCAAACACTAAAAAAGTCAAATAGCCTCAAATAATACCAAAACCAATGATTTATATTTAAAAAAACAAAAAAAAGAAGCAGCTCAACAGCCTACGCTGTCACTTGACAGTACATTGATAGCCTACCACTGTCACTTGGCAGCCTGTCCCACCGATAATAAATGTCACTTTTGCCCTTTTATACCAATTTTGAAAAAAGTGAGATTAGAGACAAATTTGTCATTTCAACTTCAAATATCATTTCAAACACATTTTTCAATACAACTCAAATAAAAATCCATCAAATCTTCCTAAATACAAAAACTAAAATAACCTATTAAAATAGCGAAAAAGCCAAAAAAAATAGCCACTTCCCAAATAGCCACTTCCCAAACATCCACAAAGAGCTGTAAACAAGTCAAGTCAGGCCGAGTAGTAAGTTATCCAGCTTGGTTAGAAAATTTAACGAACTTAAAAAATGTGCTCAAGCTTAGTTTGTTTATCTTTCTAATTGATGTCAAACGAGTTTTAATAGAGTCAATTCTTTCTGAATCTCTCCAAAAGTGGAGATTTGTAGGGGAAAAAAAACTCGGCTTCGTCTTTTCATATTACCAAAACTACTCGTCTAGATACCAAAGAAATTAAAAGAAATAACAACATGAGAAGTCATTTAGGTAAAACAATGTGTATAAAGAGAGCAACCATTATCTTTTCTCTCCCAATTTATGTAATCATTTATTTCCTTTTCTCTTACCAAACAGACTGTTAATTTGTTTTTAATAGAATGCCAAAATGAAATAGAGAACAGAATGCCAAATTGACAAAATATGGCCTCTAGAGACTAGAATGTGTCATGTGAAAACTAGTAAAATATAAAACAACGATACAATGGAAATGGGGATAGTAGACCTCATTCGGATGAAGACGATGGGTATGGTGCTTGGGGATCCCGCATTCCTCCATGCGCTGGTAATGTTGTTGAACATCAGCCAACATCTCCGCTTTGGATGGCAAATGCACCTTACCAGATAAAACTTGTGCTACCCACTTCGATTGCAATTCCATCATATGAAACAAGATTGCCTGATTGTCAAGAGAACTTTCCACTCTCAGTTAGAGTTCATTCAATTATTTCCCCAAAACAAAAAGGTAAAATTATATAGAAATCCATTAAGAATGCTCTTTCTTGACCAAATGGTATCTTGAGTATAGTTGTGACCTCTTGGGTGGTTCCACAATAACACCACAGCTTGTTTCAAGAAAATTAAATTTTTTTCCTCCCTATTTTTGAAATTCCCACTCTTTAGATCAATTATTATCCTTTGAAAGGCAGCGTAAATAATTCTAACAAGAAAATAAACTGGAAATAGCAACAAAGCGAGAAAGAGAAGAAGAAGAATGACTCTAACTAACCCTATAAGGTATGCCAATGAAAGAAAGCTGAGGACTAAGCTGTGGGGGGAAGACATGTTTGTAGAGTGGTCCAACACGGTTGTCTTCAACACTTACAATTCCATTTGTTCTAAGAAATGGAAAATGGTATTTGTACCTGCACAAAAAAACATTCAAGGACCCATGTACAAGTTTTTCTTCGTGGGCAAGAAAAGAAAAGAAAAGAAATTTAGTTTTCATACCGTACCCAGTAGAATGGAAAATGACATCTGAGCAGACGGAAATTCCATCCTGAAATGATACTGTACCATCTTCATAGACCTGGTCAATCTGTAAGAATGTTGTAAAATGTTTGAAAAATCTAGACAGAGATAGTCTTCTCTAGAAGTGACTTTTTAGTTTTCTAAACCTTTTTTTTGTGTGTGTGTGTGTTAATTTTGTGGTCTACAGTCCTCTAATGCAAACTTCAATGTACTGAAATACATTATTGTAGAAGATAAAATAAAAAGAGAGACCTACCTTTGAATGCTGCCAAACATTGTTGTGGTTATTTAATTTTGAGACTTCAACATCAGGGGATCTTGATGAGAGATGAACTTCTTTGGCCACTGTTGCAATATCCCTAGATATATCATGCGCACTCGGTCCATCTCCAATCATAACCACAACCTGTCAGGTGTTGTCCATAAAAACAATTTAATCAGAATCGGAAGCTTGAACAAATAGGACTGTTTTGGCAGTCCAATTGAACATTGAATCAACGAGTCCAATTTACTCGTCGAACCTAAAAAAATCAAGTAGAAGGCAGTGCAATATCTAATATATATGTATTAAGATGTAAAATAAGAAACCAAAATGTCAAATTTGCAATATGCTCTCACTGATATATATTATATACATATATCATCAACCTTAAGGGGTTGACCTAGTGGACACAATTCGGAGAAATTATTCAACTTGTAAATGGAATAGAGCATTGCTCCAGGAGGACTGAAGTAGATATTGTTTTCTATTGGTTATAAAGTATTTTTGGAGTAGTCTGTTTGTTAGTAGTAGTAAGTGGAGCTTATTTTAACCATAATTATGATTAAACTCTCTTTGATAGGGGAGAACCGATTATGTGGATGCCTGTTTTTCTGCCAAATAGAGTCAAGCAGAAACAAGTTTTTGATATGGATGCAACCGATACTCTTATGAAAATTTTGATGACATGTTTTTGATACTTTTGGGAATTGTTAAATAAAAAGTGGCAAAAAAACTACTTCACAATTACTCCCTTGGAAATAGGGCCATACAAAATATTACCTGATCCGCTAAAATCGTACCGATCTACGTGTGACGTACCGTTTAATCCACTAACTATGAATTAAACTTTAAATTTTATAATCCGTCTTCAAAATTGTTCCGTTCCGTTTTAGTTAATACATATATAATTTTTAACGTTTAATGAAATACTAAAGCAAAAATGAGTGTAAGAGAGATTTAAGATGTGAAATTTATTACAAATTAGTATTTATATATATGAAAAATATTATGTAAATTAGTATTATATATTATGCAAATAGTTGATAATTAGAATATTTTTTAATCCATCAATCTGTCCAAAACCGCCGAAACTATAATTTTCCAATCTGCTAATCCGTCAATCCGCCATTCAGTTTATAATTTTACTCCCAAACTGCTTGAACCGCACATCACACATCCCTTTCTGAAAATCTCAAAGAATAAACATATTATTAATTTCAACCAATGAAAAATGGCTAGTAGGCATTGGAAGTTTTTTTGCAAATTAAAAAAAAAAAAGAAAAAGAAAATTTTAACCGTTGCAAAGGAATTTACCCCTTGAAGAACCAAGAGGGTAATATACTTTCTGAAGGACCAAAAAGAAGAGAATAAGGGAAAAATATATATATTTTTTAAATAAAAAGAGCAAAGTTTCATAACAAGTACTGCTAATTCAAAATATTTACTCTATTAATTACAAATATAAGATAATTACAACAACAATGATAAAAAAAAAAAAAAAAATAATAAAGAAAAAAAAAAGAAGAAAAAAAAAAGAAAAGGAATTGCATATGTACTTGATCTCGAAATGGTTCAGGAATACGATAATTGTGACTATGCACTTGCTTTCCGGCCCATCTCTCTATACCTGCTACCAGAAACAAGCATCAATGCCAAACTTTATTATTTGGTAATAATTATGTTTATAATTTTCTATTTATGCTAATAAATAATTTGAAAACTTTAAAAACAATCAAAAAAATAAAAATAAAAACAATTTTCAAATCTTACTAAATGATTTTCCTATGTAAATAAATTTTCATTCCTTCCCTCTACCACCAACTTGGGCCATCCCCCACCTCTACCGCCGACAACTTCCTTCCACTATTGTTGTCGGCAACCAACTCCAATAATTTCCTACCACATCCGACTACCAACAACCACCCCTCACAAGTCACCCCTCACTTGTTTTCAAAACAAACATTTTTTTAGCATAAATAAAAGTTTTATGTATAAAAAAAAGAAGAAGATAGATTACACTTTTGAAGAAAATAAAATAAGTCTCCCAGTTTTTATATAATTACATCTAACTCCTTTTTAATAAGGCTAAGGAATGAGAATTAATACAAATAGTATGAAAATATAGAAATAATAACATAAAATATACAATTTTAATCTAAAAGGGATGATAATGTTACTTTTCTATCCATATAACTAAACAAATTCATGATAAAAATGAGACAAAATATTGTGTGATTTAAAAGAGGGTTCCAGCTTGTCTCCAGTTGGAGCGTCCAGTTTGTACCGTGAGCTCAAATAATAGAAATCACGTGTTGGAGCTTGTCTCCAGTTGGAGCGTCCAGTTTGTACCGTGAGTTCGTTGAATAGAAATCACGTGTTGGAGCTTGTCTCCAGTTGGAGCGTCCAGTTTGTACCGTGAGCTCAAATAATAGAAATCACGTGTTGGAGCTTGTCTCCAGTTGGAGCGTCCAGTTTGTACCGTGAGCTCAAATAATAGAAATCACGTGTTGGAGCTTGTCTCCAGTTGGAGCGTCCAGTTTGTACCGTGAGCTCAAATAATAGAAATCACGTGTTGGAGCTTGTCTCCAGTTGGAGCGTCCAGTTTGTACCGTGAGCTCAAATAATAGAAATCACGTGTTGGAGCTTGTCTCCAGTTGGAGCGTCCAGTTTGTACCGTGAGCTCAAATAATAGAAATCACGTGTTGGAGCTTGTCTCCAGTTGGAGCGTCCAGTTTGTACCGTGAGCTCAAATAATAGAAATCACGTGTTGGAGCTTGTCTCCAGTTGGAGCGTCCAGTTTGTACCGTGAGCTCAAATAATAGAAATCACGTGTTGGAGCTTGTCTCCAGTTGGAGCGTCCAGTTTGTACCGTGAGCTCAAATAATAGAAATCACGTGTTGGAGCTTGTCTCCAGTTGGAGCGTCCAGTTTGTACCGTGATTTATTAATTTTTTAAAATATTTTTTCACAAATTTTTTACTTTTTAAATACATCTAAGTAAGGTACATCTAAAAAAATAAAAAAAAATATTTAAAATTTAAAAAATATTCACTAAAAATAAAAAAAATGAAAATCAAAAAAATCAATTTTTAAAAAACTTAATCGAGAAAACTCAAATCAAACACATAGTCTAAAAACATAAAAATAACAACATAAAATTTACGAGGAAAATGAGACAAAAATTGTGTGATTTAAAAAAGAAACAAATAGTGATGATAAATATCACCAAATTTGTCTGACTGGAATGAATATGGTTGTTCCATAACACTAAATTAATACTCTTTTGGCATGTTTGATTGAAAGGATTAGAGTATGAGATTGTGATTATTAATCCGCGGGCCCAATTATCCTATGTTTGTTTTGACATTTTGTTTTAGGATTATCAATCAAATGGATAATTAATCCAACAAATTTGTAGGATTATTAGTAATGGGATAGGGGTGGGATTGTGAATACCACACTAATTTGATTGGATTATTAATACCTCACTATTAGTCTTGTGGAATCAAACATGTCCGAGCGACTTAATTTTTAATTTTTTATATTGATGATTTACCCAACAAATCTTAAAACGTGAACAATTCAAATAATCAAAACGGAATTCAAAAGTGAGCACCCCATACAGACTGGACGGAGGCCAAGACTGGACCCTTCGAAAAAAAACAAATAAATGATAATTATCACCAAATTTGTCTGACTGGAGGATGTGGTCATTCCATAAAACTAAATTAAAAACTCATTCACAACAGGGAATGTTACATTTAGTAGCAATTTGTACAAACTCTTTATCTTTAGAGCAAGCATACTCATGTGAGACATTGAATCTTAGCTTCACACGTTCAAAGGCTCACAATTAGTTGCTGTAACTTGTAAATTAGAAAGAAGAAATCACATACCTGGAAGATTGGCCAACCTGGGTTCAGTATGATGACCATTACAAACCACCACAGCCTCAAAAACCTCCTCCAAACTCACCCCACTCGTTCTCGACTCAACCACCCACACCGAGTCAACAACAGCCTCAACTCGTACAACCTCAGTCTCCAACCGAATCAACTCAACGAGTCCAAACTCCCTCGCAAACTCGTTCAAAAACGAAACCACCTCTTCATGCCCTGGAAAATTCCTCGGATCCCCAATTTTCCTGAATGGGTAGTCGGAAAAACCCATTATGTGTCTGGGAAGATTCGTGCGAAGCGAGAGATAAACACTGCTGTGAACAATCTCTCTGTCTGAGTCGAGCCCAAGTGGGTCATCTTCAACTCGGGGATCGTAAACCCATGAGCCGCCGAGTTGGTGCAATTTTTCGAAGATGGTGACTCGGTGGCCTTCTCTTTGAAGCTCGCGGGCGGCGACGAGGCCGGCGACTCCGGCTCCGATCACCGCCGCCTTCACGTACTGTCTCATAGTCTCTGTAGGCGCTGTTTGGGAAGTGGCAAATGAGGCTATTATAGCTTCAAATGAGATATAAGTCAAATAGTTCACGTTTCATTCTTTTTTTTTATTTAAAATAAATAAATAAAATAATAACAATAGGTTTGCTGTCGTGATAGTGTAGCCACAGCTTACACTGTCAAAGTAACAAGTTGTTACACTGTCAAAGTAACAAGTTGTTACCTCACGTGTGAAATTATGATTTTGCTCATTCCCATCAATTTAAAAAAAATATAATTTTAGAAATAAATTTGTCATTTTAAATTCAAATATCATTTTAACACACTTTTTAATACAACAAATTAACTAAAAATCTATCTCATCTTCTCAAATATAAAAACTAAAATAGCCTATTAAAATAGTCAAAAAATCTCTTAAATAACCACTTCCCAAAAGAGGCCGTGTGTGTGTCTCTCTCTTATTTTATTTATAAACAATGATTACAGTGTGGATTTAGGGATGACAATGGATTAATGGAGTGAATATTAATTTCCTATCTCTATTTTCTTAAAATTATTTTTTTTCATTCCCTGTTCATTATTTCTTATGGGTACTATCTTTTCCATCTCTTAATAGGTTTGGATATTTCTTAACCCAACTTGACTCTATTTTTTTTTATGCGGTGTTTGGTTGGAGGATTTGGAAAGGGAAATGGAAAAAGTAGGTGAAATGTGAATAAATCATGCCTATATTTCACATAGTTTCACACACCTTTTCATTTTTCCTTTCCAAATCTCTCCCAAAATCCTCCAACCAAACACAACATTAAGGTTCACAATTTTTTTTAAGTAAGATTCACAACTAAAGCTAAATATACATTCAATCTCTTTTTATTTTTTATTTTTATTTTTTTAAGGTTCACAACTATTTTTTTTTTAAGATTCACAACCAAAGCTAAATATACACTCAATCTTATTTTATTTTATTTGGCTCAACAACAAAATCAAATACACATTAATTAACATTATCACATTATTCTTGTCAAATTTTTTGTATATCTAAAATTTTTTAAATTTATATAGAAAAATTCTATTCCTACAAAAAAAGAATTCCATCTTCTTTTTTATTTTTTTTAATTTTTTTTTTTAAATTTTATGTATCTCCTTCTCCTCTCTATTAATTGATCTTCGATAATCTGAAGGTGAGTTGTTGCTCTTGTTTCCATCTTCTTCTTCTTCTTCTTCTTCTTCTTTTTTTTTTTTAATTTTTATTTACATTTATAGAATAAATTTTCTTATTTCAATATCTCCTGCAATTATTTTATTGGATTTCTTTCTGATTTGATAGTAACCTTAGATTGAATTTTTCAATTTTCATCTTAACTAGTGATCCCTTAATTGAAATTTTGTACATTTTTGTCTTCAATTTTCATGTTTTGGTTATGATTAATTGTGCATTTTTGATCGATAGTCACAATCTTGTCACCGCTAGATTGTCATCATCGCAAATCGTCGTTGCTGTAGTGAGAGGATGAGAGAGAGTGAGAATTAGAACTGTAATTGTCAACAGAGTAGGGATGGCAATGGATAACCTATCATGTGGGTATCTATGGAGACCCAACCCAAATACTTGGGTTTCCCCTTTTTTCTTGTCCATCGGATAGGGTAAGTGATGTTCTTTAAATCTCAACCGGGCATGGGTACCCACTAATTTCCCCTTATTTTTTTTTTATGTATATCGAAAAATAATTTCTCCATATGTTTTCACTACTCTGTTGACAATTAGAGATCTAATTCTCACTCTCTCTCATCCTCTCACTACAGCAATGGCGATTTGTGATGACGACAATCTAGCGGTGACAAGATTGTGACTATCGATCAAAAATGCGTAATTAATCATAACCAAAACATGAAAATTGAAGACAAAAATGTACAAAATTTTAATTAAGGTGATTGCTAGTTAAGATGAAAATTAAGAAATTCAATCTAAGGTTACTATCAAATCAGAGAGAAATCCAATAAAACAATTGCAGGAGATATTGAAACTAGAAAATTCATTCTATAAATGTAAATAAAAATTTTTAAAAAAAGAAGAAGAAGAAGAAGAAGAAGAAGAAGAAAAAGATGGAAACGAGAGTAATAACTCACCTTCATATTATTGAAGATCAAATAATAGAGAGGAGAATGAGATACATAAAATTAAAAAAAAAAAAATTAAAAAAGAAGATAGAATTTTTTTGTAGGAATAGAATTTTTCTAAATAAATTAAAAAAATTTAGATATACATAAAATTTGACAAGAATAATGTGACAATGTTAGTTAATGTGTATTTGATTTTGTTGTTGAACTAAATAAAATAAAATAAGATTGAATGTATATTTAGTTTTGGTTGTGAATCTTTAAAAAAAAAAAAAAACAAAACAAAATTAAAGTTAAAACATCATATGTCATAAAGCACAAATACAATAGGTTCTTTTCTTTCTTTGGAGCATTGTCAACAATCAAGTTCTCTCTTCCTATGGTGATGAGATTATTGTGAATCTCCTTTTTAATCATTTTCCTTTAATTTCAAAAAAAAAAAAAAAAAAAAAAAAAAAAAAAACATATGGGGAAATTAGTGGGTACCCATCCCCGACCCATGCCCTGTAGATATTTAAAAAATATTACTTACCCTACCCGACGGATAAGAAAAAAGGAAAAAACCTATGTATTTGGGTTGTGTCTCCATGGATATCCATAGGGTAGGTTATCCATTGTCATCCCTGTGTGAATTTGTATGTTACTAATGTAGGAAGGTATTGAATTGATTGTATGTATTTGGACTAGTTGAGTTATTGACTGGCCTTGCAAATGAATGGAGATGCAAAATACGAGTTGATTCAGTGTCAATTTTTAAACGTTTACTTCTTGTTTGGTGTGGGCACATCACGTTAGGATCTTCTAAATTGAAGAGCCTCCTAAAGTTACCAATCCAACAGCTGAAATTAAAACTAATTAAAACGACGTCGTTTTGGTTAGTAAGTTGAAAGAGAAAAAAAAAATTCATTTCAAATGCCCTCCATATACGCAGGTATAGCAGAAGGTGGAAAGAAGAAAAGGAAAACAGAGTGCGAGAGAGAGAGAGAGAAAAAGAGAGAGAGAGGCCGCTCCTCCCTGCCTTCCGTCACCCCGTTGTCTTACCTCCATATAACTGTTACATTATTTTGGTCTTACAGTTATATGCAATTTACAAATTCAGTTATATGCAATTTACAAATTAACAAAATAGAAAACAATCTCCCAAAATATACACAGTTAAGCTAAGTTAAGGTTCAAAAATGATTTGAATTGATTGATATATTAAGCTATATATAACTGTGTATATCTGTGTATATATTCAATTGATTGATAACTGTGCATATAACTGTGTATATAAGCTAAGCTAAGGTTCAAAAACAAAAAAAATTCAAAACCCCAAAAATAGATTTCAAAAAAATCATGTAACAATCATGTAACTGTGTATTATCATTAACATTCAAAAAAAAAATTCGAATTTTGCCACAGCATGGCTTTCATAAAAATACATAAAATGAAAGTATATAGCAGGCAACCAACTAACTAAATGAAGCATTGAATAGAAAAACATAAAGCTTACATAGACAAGCAAGTTAACAAGGATCTGAAAGGAGGAGCGGCCTCTCTCTCTCTTTTTCTCTTTCTCGCACTCTGTTTTCCTTTCCCTTCTGCTATACCTGTGTATATGGAGGGAATTTGAAATGATTTTTTTCCCCCAACTTACTAACCAAAGCGACCTAGTTTTGGTTAGTTTTAATTTCAGCCGTTGGATTGGTAACTCTAGGAGATCACTCTAGGCTTCTCACTTTAGAGGATCCTAACCTAGGCAGGCCAGCCCATGAATAGATAAGATGTGTTAAAGTGATAAAAGTGGCACTTATTATTTTTATGTGTTAAGGTTTATTAGGTGTTATTTGGGAATAATAATAATAAAAAAAGTTAACATATTATATTTTTATTCTATTTAAGTCATATTATTTTTCTATCATATTGCACATTTTTTTTTATAAAAAATAAAAAATTATTAAAATAATTTATTTCCAAACAACTCTTTAATTTAGTGAGTGTCTGGGGTGTTGCAATGGAAATATGAAAGAGTATAAAATAATTGAAAAGTACAAAAAAAGTACAATAATCATATACCTATTGCTAGGGATGTAAATTGGGCCCAGCTTGGCTCACTTGAGCTTAGGCTCAGGCCGGCCCATGTCGGGTCTCTCAAGCTCCAACCAAAATTCGGGTTAGGCCAAGTCGGGCCACGAGTCAAAAATTAGGCCTAGGGAGTATTTGAGCCTGGGCCTGGCCTAGTCTTGGGCTCAGGTCTGAATATTTTTTCTTTATTTTTTTCTATTTTTTTTACCAAAATTTTATTCTTTTCAACTAAAAATGACACCGGGCCTTGGGGGGGTCGGGTTTCGGGTCGGGGCTTTGAGTGGGACTTGAGAGAGCCAATGGGTCAGGCCCATGGGCCAGGCTGGGCCGAGTTGAGCTTCAAAATGATGGCCCAGGCCCAAGGTCCTAGGCTGGGCTTGGGCTCGGGCCTAACCGGGCCGGGCCTAGCCTGGCCCGTGGGCAGGTTTCGAACTGTCCATAGGCCATGGGTCATTTTTACACCCCTACCCACTACACTAATGTCTTTCCCCCCACTCTCCCACTCACTAAGAGTATCTTCAATGGTTTGTTATATGGTTTGTTATTTTTATATTTGATGATTTTATTTTGAAACTTTCAAATTTTTACTTCATTGGTAAAACACATGGGATGCTATATATAACATGGGCTTTAGGGATGGCAATTTAAACCCGGCCCGACGGGGACCCAATCCCCCGACCCCGATTAGAACGGGTTTTTCTCAAAAATTATCTCCATAGGACCGGGGATGATATTAAAAATTTAATCCCTGATAATTTTCGGGCCGGGGACGGTGATAGCTTTCCCAGACCCGGCCCCGTCCCCGTCCCCAAATTATCCTCGAAGGTAGCCCGTATACATATGTATATATTATATGTGTGATCCCAGCCCCGCCCCGT